ATATCTAAAGGGATATTGCAGCATGAGTCACAAACCTTAAAATTTAAAGCAGTACTAGTAGTACTACCATGTAAGAGAAAGATATGTGTGCGAGATCTAGAGACAAATCGAGACCTAGAAAAAAAGCATTAAAGCAGGTGAAAATGGAGAAAGAGAAGAAGAGAGAAGAAGAGGAATCAGGTACAGCGGCAAAAAGATACGTTTTTTTTCCTTTTCTTTTTTTCTTTTCAAAGCAAGACTCTTTGTTTGTTTGAATCCCAAAATTTGCCTTCAGCTGCAGCCTCTCCTGAGACGATGTTCTCTTCTTCCTTTGGCATCAACCCAAGAGACAACGTTTTGTTTTTTGATGAAAACAGAAAAGAAAAGAAAGAAGACAACCACCCTTCACCCACTACTGCTACTTGATCATGATTCAATGGCTTTTCTTGCTAAATTCAAGAAAATCCAATTATAGCACACGCATAAAAGAACAAAGCATGTATTGAACTAGACCAAACCAACAACTTCTGGGCTTCTAGCTAGTAAGACCGTTTTTTCTTTTTCTTTTTCTTTTTCTTTTTTTAGATGGGAGAGAGAAGGATGGGTGTGGATGAGAATTGAGAAGGCATCGCTCTGTAATCCTCAAACTCTTGTCCAGAGCTGGCTGCTAGCACATCCCAAGAGAAGGCCACAACCCTACGGCTAACTCTGACGTGCACTTTCTGTCTTTTCTTTTGTTGCCTTCCCACCCCCAGAAAAATCTCATCTTTTCTTTGCTTTTAACAAAGTTCAATTTTTTTTTTTTTAGCACACTTTTTTGGCTCAGCTCAAATCCACCACCTTTCCCTTCTCTTAAAAAAGTAGGTGGAAAAAGCAGTCATGTAAAAAGAGGGTTTGATTTGTATATATTTATAGAGAGAGATGGAAAGAAAGGAAGAGAGAGGGAGACAGAGGTGTTTGATTTATTTTTGTTGTAAAAATTTTCTCTTTCAGTCATGATGCGGTGGGTGCTTTGAATTGCTAGCTAGTCTTTTTGTAGACCCCTCTTTTAAAACTTTTGCAAAATTTACAGTAACATGATTGAGTCATTGATTAAATTGTAGCAGAGACAAGCTTCATGGCTAAAAGGCAGATTATCCATCCTACCTCACTTTTTCTCCCACCCTTTAGTCCTTCAATTGCTTCATCATTTCATGATCAGTAAACCTCCAAAAATTGTTTAACTGCAAGCATCCATCGCAGAAATTTCTGACATTTCTGCTTTTCGCTTCTTCCTATATAAAACAAAAAACAACTAGTGAGCCAACCCGGCCGCATGGCTGCCTAACCATCCCAATCCACCAGTCTACTACGTACCCTTCCCTGTTTTCAAGATCAGAATGCTGAGTACTACTTTCTAGTTTCTAGTCTACCCGAAAAAATTCCTGAAATTTAATCTATGATTTCAGGAAAAATTCAAATGAAGATGGAGGCTTTGTCTACAAACAAGGGTTCTTTAACAAGAAAATTAAATTGACAGGAATTCGCTATCTAAGCCAATTAACAACTAGGAGAAGAATGATATATATATATATGAATTAATCATTCCTACACTGTCAGCATTGGATGAATGATAACTATGCAACATTTGAATTTCAATTTTTGCACACATGTCATGAATTCAACGATGATAGTGTATACGCTGTCAGTATATATAAAATTTACTATATATATATATATATATAAGAAGTTCACTGATAGATGCTGACCTGTTTCCATTTTAGAAATTCTGACGACTAATGTTTGATTGACTAGTCTTAATCGAAGTTCTTTCACGATGTCCAAATATGAATAATTAAAATATTTCCAATCGTAAAGGAAAAAGTTGGGTTCTAGAACTATAATCAGCAACAACTTTTTCTTTAATCCTAATTCCTAAACTTGAGATGTAAAGGTCATTAGACAATAATCGAAGAGAATTAATAAAAAGGAAAACGAGTGGAGCATTTATGGAGCACCATTCGATGCATGTGCCTATTTGGCATCCTCTCAGATTAGTAACTAATTAGTACTGTAGTATAATATTTCGGGTGAAGTGCATGTAATTAATTAAAGCAATATATGGAAATGAACTATAGTTTAAGGCGTCGGGCAGCCCAATATTTAATCAATCATATGCTGTATGTGGATTGATGTCTCACGAGATGGAGGATATGTTTAACTGGAATTAGAAAATTATTTTTTGTTTTGTCATTGTCTTGTTTGTTCTTCAATGATTTGGGTTCTGAATGGGATCTCGCTCAAACCGAGTGTTAACATGCTTAGCCAGCTCATCTGTCCCTCTCAAGGAACTATCATTAAAAAACAAACAAAGAAAGAAACCAATTTTTTTTAACTGCATCAGATTAATATATTCTTTGCAAGAATAAAAAAAAAAGATTCAATGGTAAGTTGCATAATGGTCAGTCATCGCCCTGATCAGGAACTTACATTACACGCATTTCTCTTTTCCTCACTAATTGAATAGCGCCGAAGTCCAGGCTCTTATTAGCTAGTCTCAGAATTTTCATCACTAAATCAAAAAATTGCCAAAAAAAAATGGACAAAGAAAAAGAATACAAAAGAAAGAAGAAATGAACCTCAACACAAGGACAGCTTCGATAATCCGTACCAATTCTTGATATTGGTAGTCCAACCCCTCTATTGGCTATTCCGAAATACTCTAACAAATTTATCACAACTGGATGGACTTTAACTTTTCCATCCCGATCGACATAAATACACTGGAGATCTTTCTTACACACAATGAGGGGGATGAAGCGTAAGTTCTTCTGGGTCCTTTATAGAGCTGTTTAACGAATCAAACTGTTCGGTAGCTCGATTCATTTTGATTCATTCGTGTTCGTGATAGGCTCGTTCGAAACCTTAAATGAACCGAGTTCAAACGAATTTTTTGTTCGATTAATAATCGAGCGAACGCGAATATATTCACGAACGTTCACGAACATGAGTATGTTCGCGAATTTTGAAGAACGTTCGCGAACATGGACATAATTGTCATATGACAAATTTTATGGCTAGACTTTTATATTTGGAGGGCAAATTGCTTTGTTTTATTTGTTGTTTTTATGTTAATGTTAGTTATATAGTTAATGAATAATAGAATTTAGTCACCTGGTGCTTTAATTATTTTTTAGGATGATTAATGATTTGTATGGCATATTTAAGACTTAAAATAATCTGAATTTGAACTTTTCGAACATGTTCACGAACGGCTCGTTTATGTTAAATGAGTTGAACACGAACTCGAATTTGAACATGAACTTTGCTTAACGAGTCGAATACGAGCATAGGTTTGAAGTTTGAAAGTTAACGAACAAACATGAATATTGTTCGAATGGCTTAACGAACAGAATTCAAACATAAGATACTCGATTCGATTCAACTCGTTTATAACTCTAGTCCTTTAAGCTAAGAAGGCAAATGAAGGGGTCTAATTAATGGATGCAGCGTCATTTTTTTCCCCTAAGCAAATGGTTGAATTTCTGTAAACACTCTATTCTAATGAATGGTTAGCGTCAAAATTACATACGAAGTCAAATATTTTTAGGCACATATCAAATGAAATACTATATGTGTTTACGGACTTGTCATCGATATGATTGTCCGTAAACTCCCGTGAAGAAGAAGAAAAGCAAATTACAAAAAAGTTGAATACTTAAATCCCTTGGCTAAAGCTTAGTCCGTTTGGATTGAAGATGACTTGGAAAAATTCTTTTAAAATAATAGTACAGTTTTTTTTTTTTTTTTTGTGATGTGATATATATGAAACAAACAAATAAATTAAAAAATAAAAACATTGTTTATGATGTAATTAATAAAAAAAAAATTCCCAAGTAATTTGCTATCCAGGCGCGAGTACCCTCGCTCTCTCACTCGCATCGCTAAGTAAAGCGAGGATGATGTAAAAAGCCCAAAGAGATGGTTTTTAACAAGGTAGAGCCCATTCCCATATTTTTGAGCAGGTCCTGTCTACGTCAGTATCAACGAACGGGCCCATGCAATGGCAGCTATATGGTCCTCACATCTCACTCAGAGTCACTGGCATAAGCCGTTATAGGCGAAACAAAGGGAAAGAGAATAATCCACACACGAATATGAATATGATATGGCCATCGGGAATTCACGAGGAGCTACCACACCGCATGAAAACAACGGTGGGTCCACTACCAGTGGATTGATAATAAATTCTCAAAAAAAAAAAAAATTTTTTTAGAGAATTGACGAGTTTTAGGTAACAAAATAAGAATTTACACTCTAACCGTCAACTTTTCCCTCTTATCTCCTCTACAATTCTAAGAAGATCAGAGGGGAAATTTGACTGAAAAAAAATTCTCAAATTCACGGACATTAATCATGAAATTTATAATTTGACTTTCAATTTTTTTAAAAAAACTATTTCCATTTTCCTTATAAAATTTGAGGTTTCTTTTAAACATGGAAAAAAGAAATTATTAATCTCTTTTACATGCACAAAAAAATAAAAATTATTAGGAAGGATGTAATAATAATGTAACCTTAACATATCGTTGATTAGCCCTCTACCACTAATCATTTGTTTATACATTTTGAGGGAAAGCTCTCAGGACCCACCAACTCTAATTACCATACACATTTTGTCCTTTGAGGTTGAGTTGAACATGGCAACGTAGCAGCAGTAGTTATTCCAAATAATTATTTGGAATAATACTCTATCCAAACAAAGTCAAAAAACTTCTTTTGTTTTTCGTTTTTTTGATACAAAAATTACTATGCAAGTCATTATGGTATTTTGTACAAAATTGTCACCTATGGAGTACGTTGAAAAGCACAAACGCTTTCACACCTCACGGCATGCTTGCTAACAGATTTTCGATTTTGAAGAAGAGGGATTGGGGGAGGGATTTTTTTTTTTTTTTTTTTTTTAAAAAAAAAAGAGGAAAATAATCCTCCCCATACGCATTAGACCACAGAAAAAGAAAAAAAAAAAGTAGGAAAAGAAAGCGAAGGACTTTATCTGCTAGAAAATAAGAAGTGTATCAAATCCCATATACATCTAAAAAAACGAATATTCGATAGGAAGATTTCGGTTTGAAGGATTTTAATTCCTTTCCACTCTGATGATTTTGGAGGTGTTGAATTGAGTTCAGTTAGTTACCTAGAGAAAAGGGTTCCACAGTCACATCTGTACTCCCTAGTGCCACAGGTTTTGGAATGAGCTTTCCAGTCTGATTGAACTGCATACCGCTTTGAGCATTTGTCACATTTCCACTTCTTCTCACCGTGCTTTCTGCAAAAGTGCTTCTTGATTCCGGTTAGGTCCCCAAGGGCCCTTGACGGATCATGGTGGACACAACTGGCTTCTGGGCACACGTATACTTTCTTCTTTACTTCCTTGTTTGTTCTCTGCTTCAGCTTCCATGGCAGATTATGACCTCTTCTGTGAAGTTGAAGATTCTGATCCCTCTGAAACCCTTTGTTGCAAATTTCGCAAATGAATCTGTTTGTTGCCAAGAGAGTCTTGGGAGACAAAGCTAACACTTCCGCATCAGGGTCTGATTCAATCATTCCCAAAAACAAAGAGAATTAGCATTAATCAAGGACATTAACAGGTAACCGTACTTAACGCTGATGAATAAGAACCAACAAAAGTCGAGTCTTTTTTTCATTTAATGAAGATGCACCTGGATTGCCCGGCAGATTTCTCTTCTTCTTGACTGCTTGCTGAGGTTGAGCAACCTGAGTTTGATTTGGGGGAGCAAAGTATTGCTGTGGTGGATATATGCTGCCTCCTGATCCATTATCATTTCTATTGACAGAAGAAACACTAGCTTCATTAGAAGCAGAGGTCAGATTAGACATGTTTTCCTCCATAACGGGCTGTGCTGGTTGCTGCTGGACTATCAGACCTTTCATCATTCGTCTTATGATATATATGAGCTGGCTAACATCAGCAGCTACTTCTAATCATCGCAAACTTTCAAGATATCTAAAGGGATATTGCAGCATGAGTCACAAACCTTAAAATTTAAAGCAGTACTAGTAGTACTACCATGTAAGAGAAAGATATGTGTGCGAGATCTAAAGACAAATCGAGACCTAGAAAAAAAAGCATTAAAGCAGGTGAAAATGGAGAAAGAGAAGAAGAGGAATCAGGTACAGCGGCAAAAAGATACTTTTTTTTTTCTCTTCTTTTTTTCTTTTCAAAGCAAGACTCTTTGTTTGTTTGAATCCCAAAATTTGCCTTCAGCTGCAGCCTCTCCTGAGATGATGTTCTCTTCCTCCTTTGGCATCAACCCAAGAGACAACGTTTTGTTTTTTGATGAAAACAGAAAAGAAAAGAAAGAAGACAACCACCCTTCACCCGCTACTGCTACTTGATCATGATTCAATGGCCTTTCTTGCTAAATTCAAGAAAATCCAATTATAGCACACGCATAAAAGAACAAAGCATGTATTGAACTAGACCAAACCAACAACTTCTGGGCTTCTAGCTAGCAAGACCGTTTTTTCTTTTTCTTTTTCTTTTTCTTTTTTATATGGGAGAGAGAAGGATGGGTGTGGATGAGAATTGAGAAGGCATCGCCCTGTAATCCTCAAACTCTTGTCCAGAGCTGGCTGCTAGCACATCCCGAGAGAAGGCCACAACCCTACGGCTAACTCTGACGTGCACTTTCTGTCTTTTCTTTTGTTGCCTTCCCACCCCCAGAAAAATCTCATCTTTTCTTTGCTTTTAACAAAGTTCAATTTTTTTTTTTGGCACACTTTTTTGGCTCAGCTCAAATCCACCACCTTTCCCTTCTCTTAAAAAAGTAGGTGGAAAAAGCAGTCATGTAAAAAGAGGGTTTGATTTGTATATATTTATAGAGAGAGATGGAAAGAAAGGAAGAGAGAGAGAGGGAGACAGAGGTGTTTGATTTATTTTTGTTGTAAAAATTCTCTCTTTCAGTCATGATGCGGTGGGTGCTTGAATTGCTAGCTAGTCTTTTTGTAGACCCCTCTTTTTAAAACTTTTGCAAAATTTACAGTAACATGATTGAGTCATTGATTAAATTGTAGCAGAGACAAGCTTCATGGCTAAAAGGCAGATTATCCATCCTACCTCGCTTTTTCTCCCACCCTTTAGTCCTTCAATTCCTTCATCATTTCATGATCAGTAAACCTCCAAACAATTGTTTAACTGCAAACATCCATCGCAGAAATTTCTGACATTTCTGCTTTTCGCTTCTTCCTATATAAAACAAAAAACAACTAGTGAGCCAAGCCGGCAGCATGGCTGCCTAACCATCCCAATCCACCAGTCTACTGCTGAGTACTACTTTCTAGTTTCTAGTCTACCCGCCAGGCCACCACGAAAAAAAAATTTCTTGAAATTTAATCTATGATTTCAGGAAAAATTCAAATGAAGATGGAGGCTTTGTCTACAAACAAGGGTTCTTTAACAAGAAAATTAAATTGACAGGAATTCGCTATCTAAGCCAATTACCAACTAGGAGAAGAATGATATGTATATATATATATGGATTAATCCTTCCTACACTGTCAGCATTGAATGAATGATAACTATGTAAAATTTGAATTTGAAATTCAATTTTTACACACATGTCATGAATCCAACGATGATAATAGTGTATACACTGTCAGTATATATAAAATTTACTATATATATATATATATATATATGTGAGAAGTTCACTGATGGATGCTGACCTGTTTCCGATTTAAAGAAATTCTGACGACTAATGTTTGATTGACTAGTCTTAATCGAAGTTCTTTCACGATGTCCAAATATGAAAAATTAAAATATTTCCAATCGTAAAGGAAGAAGTCGGGTTCTAGAACTATAATCAGCAACAACTTTTTCTTTAATCCTAATTCCTAGACTTGAGAGATGTAAAGGCCATTAGACAATAATCGAAGAGAATTAATAAAAAGGAAAACAAGTGGAGCATTTACGGAGCACCATTCGATGCATGTGCCCATTTGGCATCCTCTCAGATTAGTAACTAATTAGTATTAATATATCGGGTGAAGTGCATGTAATTAATTAAAGTAACATATGGAAATGAACTACTCCCTCCGTCCCACTTTGATAGTTCTGTTTTCCTTTTTCATCTGTCCCAAATTATAGTCCACTTTCCAATTGAAGAATGTAGTTGTATTTTAATTTTCCTAAAATACCCTTATTCAATGTAAGTTGTTGTTACTATAAACCTACCCCATTTAATGAGAATTGATTCTTGTTTTACCTTCAATTCAAGTTTCCATAAAGTTGTACTATATTTAATGTGAGGGTATTTTAAGAAAATAGCAATCTAAATTTATTTTTCCAACAAAATTAACTACTTTTTCTTAAACTGTGTGAAAAAAGAAACAGGACTATCAAAGTGGGACGGAGGGAGTATATAGTTTAAGGCGTCGGGCAGCCCACTATTTAATCAATCATATGCTGTATGTGGATTGATGTCTCACGAGATGGAGGATATGTTTAACTGGAATTAGAAAATTATTTTTTGTTTTGTCATTGTCTTGTTTGTTCTTCAATGATTTGGGTTTTGAATGGGATCTCGCTCAAACCAAGTGTTAACATGCTTACCCAGCTCATCTGTCCCTCTCAAGGAACTATATATCATTAAAACACAAACAAAGAAAGAAACCAATTTTTTTAACTGCATCAGATTAATATATTCTTTGCCAGAATAAAAAAAAAAAAAAAGATTCAATGGCAAGTTGCATAATGGTCAGTCATCGCCCTGATCAGGAACTTACATCACACGCATTTCTCTTTTCCTCACTAATTGAATAGCGCCGAAGTCCAGGCTCTTATTAGCTAGGCTCAGAATTTTCATCACTAAATCAAAAAATTGCCACAAAAAAAAAAAAATGGACAAAGAAAAAGAATAAAAAAGAAAGAAGAAATGAACCTCAACACAAGGACAGCTTCGATAATCCATACCAATTCTTGATATTGGTAATCCAACCCCTCTATTGGCTATTCCGAAATACTCTAACAAATTTATCACAATTGGATAGACTTTAACTTTTCCATCCCGATCGACATAAATACATTGGAGATCTTTCTTACACACAATGAAGGGGATGAAGCGTAGGTTCTTTTGGGTCCTTTTTAGAGCTGTTAAACGAACCAAACTGTTCGATAGCTCGATTCATTTTGACTCGTTCGTGTTCATGAAAGACTCATTCGAAACCTTAAATGAATCTAGTTCAAATGAATTTTTTGTTCGATTAATAATCGAGCAATACCAGCATGTTCACGAATTTTGACGAACTTCACGAACATGAGTATGTTCGCGAATTTTGACGAACATGAGTATATTCGCGAATTTTGACGAATGTTCGCGAACATTGACATAATTGTCATATGACAAATTTCAGGGTTAATTTTATGGCTGGACTTTTATATTTGGAGGGCAAATTGCTTTGTTTTATTTGTTGTTTTTATGTTAATGTTAGTTATATAGTTAATGAATAATAGAATTTAGCCACCTAGTGCTTTAATTGTTTTTGAGGATGATTAATAATTTGTATGGCATATTTAAGACTTAAAATAATTTGGATTCGAGCTTTTTGAGCATGTTCACGAACGGCTCGTTTATGTTAAATGAGTCGAACACAAATTCGAAATTGAACTTTGCTTAACGAGTCGAATACGAGTACAGGTTTGAAGTTCGAAAGTTAACGAACGAACACGAATCTTATTCGAATCGCTTAACGAACATAGTTCAAACATGAGATACTCGATTCGATTCGGCTCGTTTACGGCTCTAGTCCTTTCAACTAAGAAGGCAAATGAAGGGGTCTGATTAATGGATGCAGCGTCATTTTTTTTTCCCTAAGCAAATGGTTGAATCTGTAAACACGCTATTCTAATGAATGGTTAGCGTCAAAATTACATACGAAGTCAAATATTTTTAGGCACATATCAAATGAAATACTATATGTTTTTACGGACTTGTCATCGATATGATTGTCCGTAAACTCCCGTGAAGAAGAAGAAAAGCAAATTACAAAAAAGTTGAATACTTAAATCCCTTGGCTAGAGCTTAGTCCGTTTGGATTGAAGATTACTTGGAAAAATTCTTTTAAAATAATAGTACAGTATTTTTGTGATGTAATGTATATGAAACAAACAAATAAGTTAAAAATTAAAAACATTGTTTATGATGTAATTAATAAAAAAAAATTCCCAAGTAATTTGCTATCCAGGCGCGAGTACCCTCGCTCCTCGCTCGCATCGCTAAGTAAAGCGAGCATGTGGCAGCTTCAATGTAAAAAGCCCAAAGAGATGGTTTTTAACACGGTAGAGCCCATTCCCAAATTTTTGAGCAGGTCCTGTCTACGTCAGTAACAACGAACGGGCCCGTGCAATGGCAGCTATATGGTCCACACTTCTCACTCAGAGTCACTGGCATTATGGCATAAGCCGTTATAGGCGAAACAAAGGGAAAGAGAATAATCCACATATGAATATGATATGGCCATCGGGAATTCACGAGGAGCTACCACACCGCATGAAAACAACGGTGGGTCCACTACCAGTGGATTGATAACAAATTCTCAAAAAAAAAAAAAAAATTTTTTTTTAGAGAATTGAGGAGTTTTATGTAATAAAATAAGAATTTACACTCTAACCGTCAACTTTCCCCTCTTATCTCCTCTACAATTCTAAGAAGATCAGAGGGGAAATTTGACTAAAAATAAATTCTCAAATTCACGGACATTAATCGTGAAATTTATAATTTGACTTTCAATTTTTTAAAAAAAAACTTTTCCCATTTTCCTTATAAAATTTGAGGTTTCTTTTAAACACGGACAAAAGAAATTATTGATCTCTTTTACATGCACCAAAAAAAATAAAAATTATTAGGAAGGATGTAATAATGTAACCTTAACAAATCGATGATTAGCCCTCTACCACTAATCATTTGTTTATACATTTTGAGGGAAAGCTCTCAGACCCACCAACTCTAATTACGATACACATTTTGTCCATTGAAGTTGAGTTGAACGTGGCAACGTAGCAGCTGTAGTTATTTCAAATAGTACTCTATCCCAAACAAAGTCGTTACTTCTTTTGTTTTTTGTTTTTTTTTTTAATACCAAAATTACTATGCAAGTCATTATGGTATTTTGTACAAAATTGTCACCTATGGAGTACGTTGAAAAGCACAAACGCTTTCACACCTCACGGCAACTGTTCTGGTAAACCTTTAATTTGCTTTAATGAATAAATTTTTTTTTTTAAAAAAAAAGAAAGAGAAAAAAGAATATAATGTGGGTCGGAAGAAAGCAACCCAAACCCTTTTAGTAGCCAGGGAAAGGGACCAGTGGGGGATTCTTCCGTGACCCAATAAAACACGCGGCCATACTTGACTGGACTTCCAAATTCGCTTGCTACCCATTTTCCCCTATCATGCACGCTAGTACTACTTGACTGGTTGCATTATTGAGACAAAAAATAATTTGACGTTAGGGTAGGGGTGGGTTTGGGTTTTGGGTAGACTAAGGGGTACAAAATATGCGAACAAGACACAAATTTTAAAATGGGTTTGGATAAAAAAAAAATTTTCTTTATGAATATATTTTTCAATCACAGTTTTACCTCACATATATTAGTTAGATCAAATCGTTACAATATATTTTTTAATAAATAAATTTTTTTTAAAAAATAGCAATCCAAACAGGTAAGATTGATCAACGTCACGTAGTTCGGATACAACAAAAGCATATACGGACCTACTTGAATTGAATAATAATTGAATATAACAATTTAGTTACAAAATTATACAATTCGTTCATCATGAATTACATCATGTTCAAACCGATCCTGCCCCTGTCCCGGGTTGCGGGTGGCCACCGGTAGTTGACATTTGACAAAAGTGGGGGGGGGGGATTGTATTTCTCAGATCTCAGGAGAAGGGGGGACGAAAATTCCTTTTTGGACGCCAGTAGTACGTTAACTTTGAAATTTCCCAATGGAAACCAGTCCGTGGCCCATGGTTGATGGGTCCCCACCTCAAATTGTTGGACCGAACAGGCCCACCCCACTTACTGAAAGAGTCAAAACTGCTCGAAATAAGACTGAAAGTAGAACTGAAACTCTGGCAATCGATGACGGTACCAGTCATCAACATGGGATCGGATCACGGGTCAGCGGTCACGGCATGGGAGCAACTCAGGAGAATTATTGACGAAAACTTTGGAGGGCAGGGCTCCTTCTCATTCAATTTTCCTTGTTTTTTGTATTTTTGGTTGCGTTGAAGACTCTATTCTGTACCATGCAGGGTAGAAAGTTTCATCCGGAATAACGGAGAAAATCCACAATATTTTGAAGCGAGATTGTTAAGTGCCATAGTCAAAATTTTATTTGGTCCATCAAAAACACGCCTTTAGGAATCTGAGCCACTCACCAGAATCAAAATTTTGTTCTTTACAATTTTGAAAGTTGACATTTTCCTCATCTCCTAGCTCCAACCATGATCAAAATTTTATAGGTTTACTGGCACCCGAAGCCCGTCATAACTGAGTTGCATGTCAAGGCCTTCAGTCTCCCTCAATTTTCTGAGATCTTCATTCACTTTCTCGTGATCCATTAGATGCATCATACCAGTGAAAAGCGTTCTTCTGGGTTGAATTTTCCTGACTTCATCCAGTGCCTGGAGCATCAAAGCACAGATGTTCAGTGAAAAGAATATAAAATTTCCAAGGTTCCAATGGAAGACCAGGTTACACACCCTTGGAAGTCCAAAATGTGTCGAAGAAGATCGGTCGGGCCTAAGGGCGTCCTACAAACAAAATGGCACGGAGCATTGGCTCCAGTCAATCCGGATATGCCAAAAAGTATACATAAATGAAATATAAATATAGAGAGAGACCAGGATAAGGAGTTCACAGTCCTCCAGAAGTGGGTAAGTTTCTTCAGGGATTTCACTGACATCACTGCATATTTGTGCAAGAAGGATTAGCAACATTCCTTTAAGCGATAGACGGCAAAAACTTCGAGTACTCGTCAAACCATTTACCTGATATAACAAATATTGCCAAAACGAAAACCCAGAGAACGGTAATTCTTTCCATGCCAGACAGGTAGAGGTGTAAACTGATGAAAGAAACACAAAATAAACTAGGTAATTGGCAGAGCGCGGCAAAACAAATGCCAACAAATGTTAAATCATACATAAAATGACAAGATGCACATAGAAAGAAAGCAGGATAAAAACATACAAGTCTCTAAGGTGTTCACGCCACTAAGAAAGCTACCATAACACCTCAGAACCACCATCTCTCTTCCCCAAAAATAGAAACTAATAACATAACTGGACAGCTCAAAAGTGACAGAGCATAATGTTGCTCCTGCAGCTCTGGGCTTGTCATCCCCAACTTAATTCTTATCATAAAGAAATTAATTCACAATTTGTCATTGTGATTACAGATTTGAGTATTTTGCAATGATCTCCAACACTTTTCAGGTTCTCATGTCTGAAAGAAATAACTCATGATCAACTGATCGAATATAATGGGATTTCTGATGAATGCATGCAAAAGTGTTATATTTCCAGCAATCATCAAATTGATAGTGACAGATACCATTTAGAAACACGAAAACCAGTACCATCTAATAAATAGCCTAGAAACATGGTCCAACACACAGCTAATGTCATCATATTTCTCTATCAGAAGTCAAAATAGGTTATCATTATCAACATGTTAGAAGAGAACTCACAAGGATGCCCAAAATCTCAGCATGACAACTCTTTGAAAATCTGCAAAAGGAAGCGCACTCTAATAATGAACAAAAGAGTGAGAAATTCTGACCTTAAGGTCATGTACAATGAAAGGTTCCTCGTGGATAATGTTAAATTGCAATTCTGAGACAGCGGCACCAGGAACGATAACACTGGTATCAACTAAATAATAATGAGTTTTCTTCATCACCTGCATTATAGACAAAATATGATACGTTGTGAGAACCCCTGTGAAGTATTTTCTTGCTTTAAATTATTGTCATCTCATTACATTATGATGAACCAAAAACATTAAGCATCTCTTGAAAATATTTTAAGGGAAACTGCAGAGTATATATATATACAACAAAAGCGTGATTGCAATTAGATAAAAAATTATATGCTTCCATGCATATTTCTTAGGATTTTTCAACCCAAAAGAGACCCTATTTGATCGCCCCTATGCTTGAGGCGACCAATTACAACACGACTGGTGACAAAAGTGCAGCACAGGCTAGCTTTTACTTCACAGAATAGCCACCAATCGCCAATGGACCAATTCACTGGGTGCAGAACTACCAAAGGAATCAGGAACGGCCTTTTAAAATTTCTTCTAAAAATAAGGAAAACTTAACAACCAAATTTACTATAATACAACACATGACACAATAATTTCAGAGGTATGGCACAAGAAACTCGAAAGTGTTGGGTTTTGTGGTGGTGACGGTGGTGGGGGGGGGGGAGGGGGAAGAGGAGATTCGCGTATTTCCGTAAAAGAAGCATCCTTAGCTTGAATGTAATAAAAATTTGAACACGAGTAGACTTTCAATGATAAGTCATGCACATACATAGAGCGCTATACAAAACCTTAAGGCCACATGGGCATATAGATTGAAAACTCAACAGAGAAAGTAAGATGTGCTTCAGCAGGTTGAAGTAAAATTCGGACCTCAAAGTCACGCATTGCAACATAAATGGGAATAGATGGCTGGACATTGTTTGTCCAATCACGAAGATCATCCAGACCTGAACAACACAAACTTCAGTATATGATTCAGTTTAATTCACAAGAAAGAAACTAAAAAGGAACTAATAAACCTATCCATCATATATAAGTAAAGATCAAAAGGCATGCATGCCAGAGACCTCCAATTGCATCAGCATGAGAATGAGTAATAATAACTGCATCAATTGTTCTTACCCTGCAAAAAATGCATCTAGTCAAGAAAGCCATATACATGATATTCCATATCAATTTGAACAGGCATGACATTTCACAACTTTACTACTTGCTTCGTAAGAGCAGAAACAGAGAGATGAAGCAACTGAAAAGAAATATTCACTTGAAACTTCGAGCCAAAGCTACAGAACAATGTCTTTAAGAGGCAGTGGAGCTTAGAAATGATGATGGCACTTCTTACCTGACGTCTTGGTCCATGCTAGATTATTTATTGGTCAAGAGCTTCAACTTGGAAATCCTCCTATATAACAGGCCATCCATAATTCAGTCAGTTTCTTCCAAGTGTAGCCAAAATCTGTGGCAACCATGGCTAGCTTTTACCTCTGGCTAATGTGCTTGTACTGGATAGTGCTCGGACATGGCATTCTTGAAGCAGAAGCATCCCACAGAAATCTTGCATCTCTTCAACCAGCATCTCCAAGTCAAACCTACAGAACTTCTTATCACTTCCAACCTCCCAAGAACTGGATGAACGGTAAATTTTTGTCTTGTTAATTGTTAGTAATAATTTTCTAAGGAAGGAAAGACAAACGATTTACACTACTGTTTGGTTGTATTGTTTTAACTTCTCTAACGCGCGAGATTCTTGTTTTTCCTTCCATTTGTTTTGGCGTCAACGTCACGGTGAATACAACAACAATGGCATCTCGCAATGGCAGATCCTAATGGTGAGTTTTGTTCTCTTCTCGTCTATTTCCTCGTGTTTGAGTCTTCAAGGCCATCTATATTCCTTCTTAAAATCAGACGAACACCTTAAAGAGGTGTATCCTTCTTTGCCATGTAATGAAGATTCGTAGCTGACAGCTTAAAGAGGATCAGAGACGAATTTGTTATGGTTGAAATTATTGTTTTGAGAGTTCTATTCAAACTTGTGCTTAACAAAAGTAAAAGATGATGGCTTGTGGAGTAGAAAAACTCACTCCTCGTGCGTCTACATTTGACCGCTCAAATTCCAAGACTGGAGTTCCTTTTTGGATTTATACATGAACATGATTGGTTCTGAAGCACTGACCATTTCCTGGCATTCTTTCTGCTTACGAACAGCTTTGCAATCTCCTTACCCAGCTGAAAACCTGGTCTTTTGCAAGAATCCAGGAGTTTCTTAATGCCCTTTGTTCGAGTCTTTTGGCTTTTGCCATCATGCCATTATCCTTGTTGCTCATGTTCTTAGGACCAAGTTCACTAGTCAGAGGAAGACAGATATATATGCAACTAGAAATCAGATTTTAACCACAGAATGATGGCTTCCCAGATACTGAAAATATTTCCTTTCCCCTTTCAGGACCAACGGTTTATAAGGGACTTTACCATCTATTCTACCAGTACAATCCACTCGGTCCAGATTGGGGGAACATTGTTTGGGCTCACTCCACCTCTAAAGATTTAATCAACTGGAACCCTCACAAAGCAGCCATTTTTCCGTCTCAGAAGGGTGACGTGAATGGTTGCTGGTCAGGATCAACGACAATGCTTCGAGGGGAAAACCCAGCCATTCTCTACACTGGCATAGACCCTAAGAACCAGCAAGTTCAAAATCTTGCTGTCCCCAGAAATCTTTCTGACCCGTACCTGATAGAATGGGTCAAATCGCCTTACAATCCACTGATGACTCCGACTCCAGAGAACAAAATCAATTCAAGCTCATTCAGAGACCCAACTACTGCCTGGTTGGGCCCTGATGGCCGATGGAGAGTCATCGTTGGAAATAAATTAAATCGTCGAGGAAAAGCACTTCTGTACAGAAGCAAGGATTTTGTTCGTTGGACCAAAGCTCAGCACCCACTGTATTCAATACAAGGCACTGGAATGTGGGAATGCCCTGATTTTTACCCTGTTTCGAGCAGCCCTATTGGTTTAGACACATCAACCATTGGCGAAGGCGTTAAACATGTTCTTAAGGTAAGCCTGGATGACACCAAGCACGATCAGTACGCGATTGGAACATATGCGCATTCCAAGGATGTTTTCGTGCCGAATGCTGGAGCTGCAGAAAAGTTTTCAGGCTTGAGATACGATTATGGGAAGTTCTATGCTTCAAAAACATTCTACGATAGTTTGAAGAAGCGAAGAATTCTTTGGGGTTGGATCAACGAGTCATTATCTCGAGAAGATTATATTGCTCAGGGATGGTCCGGAGTTCAGGTAAAGCACCGTCTTCTACCAGTTAATCTGATCTAAAAGATTAATAGAGGCGTTGTAATTGACAAAGCTGCATTGATTTTTCAGGCAATTCCTAGGCTGATATGGCTAGATAAATCAGGAAAACAACTGGTCCAGTGGCCAATTTCAGAGATTGAAACGCTACGACAAAAAAAAGTTGGCTATCCTCGTACGCAGCTCAAGAGCGGATCCACAGTAGAAGTTCAAGGCATCAAAGCTGCCCAAGTAAGTAGACTGATAATTAGATTGGACATCTTCTTGCAAGCTTAGAATTATTCCTGCTTTTAGTCAAATTCCTTCTTCAGGATATGAATTTTAACCCAAAAGATATTTGGTGATTTACTACTTCCTCGTTTAGGATTTAGTCTTCGAATCCTTGTCTTCGGACCACTAATAAGAATGTGACATTCAAACTGAACCAAAAAAAAGAATAGTCTATATAATGAATGCTAGAATGTGACTGGTTCTTTTTCTTGACAGGCGGATGTAGATGTGTCGTTCCAAGTAGCATCCCTTTCATAACTCACAGTTTTTTGTATGAGTGTTTCGATAAATGGACTCTGCGAAGACACTTCAAAAGCCGCAACTTTTGAAGTGCTCCGCAGCACTTAACTACTAAACCCCCCAAACCCCCCCAAGCGATGTGGGAACTTAACCCCACAGGTAGCATCCCCCAAGCCGGCAACTTTCCAAGTAGCATCCCAGTTGGAGCAAGTTGATGCATTCGACCCAAGTTGGACGGACCCCCAACTGCTTTGTAGTCAAAAGGGTGCATCAGTCAGAGGAGGGACGGGACCCTTTGGACTAAAAGTTTTGGCTTCAAAGGATCTGCAGGAATATACGGCCGTCTTCTTTAGAATTTTCAAAGCCCAGAACAAATATGTGGTGCTGATGTGCAGTGATCAGAGCAGGTATTATCAGGAAGACACTTCGCATGTAATCCTAATCTAAAACTGTTTTGCTTCTTTCTTGTTAAGAATTTTCAGAATTCTCATCATATTCATCCCACGTGACGTCTCTCTACAGGTCCTCGCTCAATGAAAAACCAGATAAGACAACTTATGGGGCATTTCTGGACGTGGATCCTTTGCACGAAGAATTATCTTTGAGGAGCTTGGTACGAAATCTTCTTTACGCTGGGCTTGATACATATAACACAGGCCAAAAAAAAAAGTTTTTTTTTTTTTTGAGGACAAAGGAATTTATTATTAACGAGGAGGAATGGTGTTTTTTTTTTGTTGCAGATTGATCATTCAATAGTGGAAAGCTTTGGTGGAAAGGGCAAGGCATGCATCACTTCAAGGGTATATCCTACTAAAGCTTTAGGCAACGAGGCACGCTTGTACGTCTTCAATTATGGAAAGGCCAACGTCGCAATCTCAAGCATGAATGCTTGGACCATGAAGAATGCCAGTATCAATCGAAAGAATTGATCTTCAAGAGTGGGATGACTTTAGTTTGAATCTTTTATAACGTTAGCAATGGTGACCATATTTAAAATTGCATATTATCAAATAGAAAAGGTACGTATTTGCCAGACAACATATTGCATTTCTAAGCCACCATAACTCAAAAGAAGTCCTTAAGCCTCAGTCAAGTATTGTAACATGCACGTCTCTCATGTGAAGTCAAATTTTCTAGTGTCTTCAACACATGGGACAACGTAATATGCTTAGTGATTTCCTAAAGACTTGCAAACTTAAATAGATTATGGACTTGTTCTCAATTCATTATTTTAACTCATTATGCATTCTAATTTTAAATAATTTAATTTTTATAATGTTCTTGATTGTTGTTATTTTCTGATTATAGATTTTTTTTATAATCAAATAACAAAAAAAATCTAAAATTCATAATTACCCCAAAAAATAACTTTTACCGGTTTTAATTGTTATCTATGATCACTTTCTATAATTAGACTTTGTAAACTTTAGAGCAAACCAAGGAAAAAAAATGAATAAGAAGTAAACTAAGTGGTGAGAGGAATCGAATCCCACACAAGGCAAGCAAAAATTAACATGCTAGTTAACATAGCCTTCGAGCGTAATCCATTAGTTCCAACCGCTTTTTTCTTCCCCCCTCCCCCCCCCAACGCTATACCAACTACTACCCGGAACTAAATGTGAAACTAAGAATCTGCGCAATACCAGTTGAGAAACAGGCAAATTGATGCACTTTGATCATACATTATATACAGAAAGAAATGGAAAATTAGAAAGAAATAAGAAACCATAAAATCCAATACATAAGAAGGGAAAATATCACAATTCTCCCAACCATATCTCAAGGTGCCATGATCAACCCAACAGCATTTAGAAGCTTAAAGAGAGAGAGAGAGAGAGAGAGAGAGAGAGGGGGGGGGGACGAGGAAAGATGGAATGCCGGGGACAGGGAAAATTAAACAAAAGGCTTCAGAATACACCAGGATGAATACAAGCAAAACTATCAACAAGCAAGGACAATAAAACTGCTCCCGATACACATTCAACTGCTTAGCAATTTAGGATTTACATCTACTGTTGCTTGCATTCTGGAGGGCGTTCAGTCTGATGACCTTCCTGACCTTGTGATCTTACACTCGGCTGCAATTCATAGAAGCAACTCAGAAGTCACATAAAGCAGTCATTAGGCAACAACAGCCATACTATCATCTACTATGTCGAGAAGTAACATCATTACATCACCTAACCTTTGATCTGGTAGACTGCAAGACACAAAGGACAACAAACAACAATAAATATTAGAAGTCTGCAAGAAACGTTTGCTGCAAAGAACTTTAATAATGAAACTGCCTATTTATGGGAGCTTATTACCTTCTTTCTATTCTTGCTATCCACCTTATCCTCATCATCTTCTTCATCTACCTCCTCATCTTCATCGTCTTCCTCCTCATCATCCTCGTCATCTTCATCATCATCCATATCTTCAAAATCATCTCCATGAACAGCCTCGCCCGTAAACCATGACACAGCATGAGGAATAATTTTGTCTCGTATTGTTGAACTACACAAAAACACCCATAATCACGTCCTGGCTGAAAACGAACTCTTATTAAACAAAAACTGGTAAACAGAGTACTAGATAACCTGAGGAAGGAAGGGCAATCATAGGCTATCAATCAAGGCATTCTATGATGGAAGAAATAAATAACTCACCCAATATCATAGTCTTGCTCCATTGAGTTCTGGAGTTCTTCAGCCTGTGAGAACAAAGAAAGACAGAATAAATAGAGCCCAAAGGACTTTCCATGCGCCCATATGCTGTAATGTGAAAAGTGAAGCAGAAGAACTCACAGTATCCTCATCAATATCGTCATCATCCTCAGGCACTTGCGGAGGGTTGAAGAAATTGAAAAAGCTTTCACAATTTTCAGTCTTAGTTATAGGTTTCACGTTCTTTGACCCCTTTCTTGGCTTTTTCTTCAAAACCTTCTGCGTCAAGCATTTGCCAGGATACCATTCAATTTCCGCCCTACAACATCCAAGAAATGTCACTAATCAGTAATCAATATCAGCATGACTTATTACATATAAGGCAGGATAATGAAGTTTACCCTATAGCTTTCTCTAGTATAGGTTCATCATCATCAATCATGTGATAAGTTTTTGTCAAGACAGTGTTCTTGAAAAATGGATTAGCATCAAAAAAGAACTCAAGCTTGAAACCCTTCGGACTATCAATCCTGCACCACTTGATATCCTTGAGATATTTTAGAGCCTCCTCATCACGCTCTGAAATCTAAACAAAGGGAGAAGTGATAGTCCGTCACATGTTCAACATAGAGAAATAAACCCAAATAAAAGAAGGTATCCAATCATTTACCTCTTCTGCCAATATTTCATTAGTCTTCATCGCCATCAACCAGAAGTTGGGAACACCTTTTTCTGTTATGGAATGCAGCATGACAATCAAAGAAAGGCTTAAAACAACCACTTGCCAACAGGCAATTGAAAAGACAAAAAGGGAGAGCAAAGGAGGCACAGACACGTACATTCACCCAAAACAAATAAACAAGTTAACAAGAAGCGCAAAGAAGGCTATAAATAAGTCTATTTGGAATGTGCATATCACCTTCTGTCCCTTTGTCTCCCTCGTCACCCTTGGAAGCATCACCAACTCCTTCAACTTCAAGAACACCATTAACTATTTGGTATCTCTGCAGTTTAAATAGCAACATTAACACAGAAACAGAAGCAGCACTCAATGCAATTGCGATTCATCTACCCAGATTGAACTGCCTTGGTAGCCAATACAGTTTATTGTGTCAGACCAGGTAAATAATAGCAACATGCAGCATACGCTTTTTTGATGCATACAATATTAGGTTGGAAGTTCACATTATAACTAGAGCTCAATGGACATCATTTGAAACAGATGACAAAGAAAAGTACAACCCCTAATTCAGCACAAAGAAAGTACCACCTTTGTATAGAGTGGTTCATAGAGCTTCTGGTATTTAGCTTCCAGTGCAGCCCTCTCTTCGAAGAACTTTGACTCCAGCTCATCATGTTGGCTCTGCACATGAAGAAATACCCATGTATAAGGGCACACAGAAATGTTTTACCACAATCTCAAAGCAGTATACTTAACAACAGAAGATCACTCCAGCTGGTGAAGGTTTGCCATTCGATTTTACTAAATCAACAAATCCTCATAAATGGCCTGAAAACGTTATTGGCCCCACTAATCTCATGAGTTTGACTAATTTCCACGTATTAGTCCATGCATATGTAGCTTTTGAACTCCTAAAGGAATCCATACCCCACAACGAGCAACTGATTCCAGTGGTGCTGCATTCCATAGATTTTACTTTAATGTTTTAAGAGTTAGATCTCCATATGCAGGGAGGACCAAGATACAGTCTTACACATGGAATACAAGGCCACAATTAAGTCTATTCCACGCAGACACTTCTTCCCTTTTTAATCTAATAAGGTAGTCAATTAGCTCCTATATATAGGAGTTGACAACAGCGGTTAACCTATATCAGGTGAAACTGAATTCTAAATATCTTATCAAAAATCAAGCATCCTGCCATCTCGAGCTTTTGCTTTTCTCAACTGCCTCACACAACAAGCTTAACGTTGATTTGGCTTTTAAGGCCGCATTTAGATTCATGTAAGTAATGCTTCGACTTTACACCAAAATTACTTCCGGTGAAATGATGAACCCAGCACAAAATAGAAATAAACATCGGAAAAAAACATTTCTACCCAAAGCACCCGATCGACAAACAATGCTGAACAAAAAATTGAAAGCAGGCAGCAGAAATTAATTCTAAAGCTTAGTTGAACTTATAAGTTTTAAATTCAATAAAGTACCTGAAGCTCTCTTAAAAATTCCACACGCTTTCGAACCTTGGGAGAGAGAGTCTCCATAATATCCGAATGCTCCCCAGCCAAATGCTGAAGTTTATCCTACAAAAGCAACCCCAAAATTCAGATAAACCCCACCACCAGAAAAAAGAAAAAGAACAACACCATTGAAAACGTTCAAATTAAAAAAAACAAAAACACCAAAAAATAGTAATAATAACTAACCTTGAGGGCATTAACTAACCCAGCACGGTCCTCCTCGCTTAAAGCTGCATGCCAATTACAGCCAAAAAGAAATGATTAATAAAAACAACAGAACAGATATTATCAAAATTTATTTCTCCACCTTACGAAGACCTGCAACTTCTAGCAGCGAAAAGGGTTTTTGGGCTCAGGAAATTACCGGCGGCGGCAGCGGGGAGGGCGGAGCCGAGATCAGACACATCCAACTGATCTTTATCGGTGCTATTATTCATCTTTGGCGAGATCGCGAAGAAATTGAAACTTAAAACCTAGAAAATGGATAAAATAAGGAATAAAGAAATCAAAAACAAGGGGGAGGAACCAAAAAGGTTGAAGAGAAAAGGAGGGAAAGTGAACGAGAAAGAGGGCTTTTATGCGAGAGAATTCGGGAGAAAGACCGAAGCAGAGAGGGGCGAGTGGGCGGTTTGTTTGTGTTAGCGACCTGACTACCTGACCCGAAGAAACCTGTAGGTTATGCCTAGACAGATAGGGAATTTTCTCACGCTCACGTGCAAAGTGCCCATTTCACGCGCGGCTCAAGTTGGACCGCTAATGAAAAGATAATTCATGCTGGACCGCTCGGGTTTCCAATCGGACCTTACTCAAAAGTAGAATTACGTTTTAAGGGCAAAAAGTATTTTTCGATTACTCCTGTTTTAAGGGCTAAAAAGTATTTGAGGATTTTTCAATTACTGTTTTCAATAAAAAAGGCTAATAAGGCTTAGCTTAATTTCGCTCTATTTCGTTGAGGCAAGGCTAATTTAATTACTTCTTTTTTTTTTTGGTAATTACTTCTTTTTTTCATTTTTTTAATCATGAAAACTAAGGCTGACTTTTTGTATTTATAAACTATAAATCAGAGGGTCACAACAATATGCTTCTAGCTTCTCCGCGATTGCCCTCCACTTATCTATTGGATTACGTTGTCCGACTACATAAAGTTTAATTTCTATATTTACATATTGTTTAAAAAATAATTTCAACTTTTTAAATTTTTTTTAGCGGGGGAATGTTGGGGTAGAAAAAATTATAACTCGTAACCTCTAAGTTCTAAGATCTCAACTTTAGACGATAACTTTAATGAATTATAATTAAATAACTAATTAGCAAATGAAAATAATATTGCATGTTAATTGGTAGGGTCTATGTTGGATCTGTTTTATCCAAATCTAAACCCATTAAAATTAATTAGATCCAAACCTAGATCCTTATGCGTCTGAAGATGTAAACTCAAGTCACCGTGGGTTTGGGTATCAAATAGGTATCTATGATACCAGTATGAGCATATCGTGATACCATTCATTTTTACTTTCGAGTAAAATTAGCATTCAAAAATTTGCATGTAATATTATAAACTAAAAAAAGAACTATTATCAACTACTTCAATTTATTTTCGAATATTCATCCGCAATACTATAGATAGGCGAGGTTAGGCAGTGTTTTGTTAAGTTATGAACATATCATTTAATCTAATAGTCATGGAGTCATAGTGTATTTAATCAAATGTCCATAGAATATTATATTATTTTGTAAATTTACTAACATACACACACACGCATACACGTGAGTATGATTTGGATTTAGATTTGAATATGAATCATATAAACCAAATCTTATTCAAATCTATGACTTTCTTTCAGGGTATAGATTTGAATTTGAAAAATTAAACTCAAACACCATGAAAAAATATTAGGTATGGGTAAAGACTGGACCAATTAACATACCTAAAGATGGTTATAGTTTGGTTAATTTACTAATATCGCCATCTTATCCTAACTCTTAACTAAACACACTCAAATAATAAATTTGTCATTTCGAAAGAAAATTGTTTTGGCATTCGCATGCCCGCTGTAGTATCAAGTTGAAATCGACTTCTGTTATAAACTCTTGGAAATTCAAATCAAGCTTGAGCATGACTTGACGTTCTTCTTCTAAGTTGAAAGAAATAAACCCCACAATGAGTAAAGAGTAGGGTTAGAGAGTTCAATCAAGAACCTAATGCTTCTTTTGGAAGATGAGAATTTGGATAGAAAAGAGAGAGAAAGAAGAGTTTGGATAGAGTATTATTCTAAATAATTACTGTAATATTTTTTTATGATATGATGTATGTGAGATAAAAAAATAGTTGAAAATATAAAAAGGTGAATTGAAAAATATATTTATGATGCAAGCGAAATTTTTTTATAGAAAAATTGGCTATCCAACTTTAATTTTTTCCTTTGTTTGTGAATTTTTATTAAAAAAGAAAATAAGAGGATTCAGGAGGATGAATAGTAGACAAAAATTCTCCTCTCAAATTGGACAGAAATAGAGAGAAGGTTTGAGGAACCTTGTGAAAGTTTTTTAAAATACCTATTTTATCCTTAAAAAGGTCTTAAACAAATATTTAATAACTTTCATATCCAAAATCATTCCACTAATTCTCAAAATTTCCAAACAATAATATAACAATCCCTTCTCTTCTCTTTTCTTTTCTCATAACTTAAAGTTTTCCCTTCTCCTCTTTTCTATCCTAAACTCCCAAACTAAGCCTAAAAGCAGCAGAAGGCTTTTGGAACACTTGACAAGTTTTATACTATTTAACAAAAGTGAAAATAGCGACAACTCGACGAGTCATACATCTACTTACTGTTAGTCATAACTCTGACAAACATTGCCTTAAATTTATGTTGGGTGGAATCTTTCCCCACCTGGCTCATGAATGATGCCAAAGCAAGTCTGAGTAGCAGTTGGTCAAACTCTCTTGTAAGTGATTTTGGTGTTTTGTAAAAGGAAAATGTTAATCAAATTCTGTTTTTTTTTTTTAATCGTACTTCAATCATTATTCTATTATATACTCTAATAAATAAAAATTATATAATAAAAATGATACTAGGAATGTGATTAAAAAAAAGTGAAATGGGATTAACATTTACCTTATTAACATTTACCTTATCTAGTCTCAATACTACTAAGTTTTGGATGGAGAGGGATATCTAATCTATGTAAAATTGACGGTGGTAAATCATAATTTACCCGTAGTCAATTTAAGCGCCTCAACTGAAATGATTCTAAGACTATTCTCCGCCATAAAATGGCAGTTTAAAATCCCATGGTATTCAAAACGAAGAGAACAGCAAGACTTTTTAACAGTATTTTAGTCTCGCAGTTGCAGCGAATCGAATCGAGCCGGCGGTAACTGGAGGATTTGAGGAGCGACCAGTTTTGGCCCCGAAATCAAATTATCCGGGTTGAACTTGCAACCAAACATGGATATCGAGGGCAACGACGGTTCAAAAACCTTGCTGGAACCGGGTTCGACGGTAGAATGGGGAAGGGGTTTGGGTCTCAAATCCAAGGACAGAACCGTTTCCCGGCGTCACGTGGCATTTGAACTTGCTCCTTCCAATGAACCCAACAGGGTTCGTTTCCAAGTTATCGGAAAGAATCCCGTAAAGGGTGCACAGCGGCGAACGCGGTAAAGTCAGCACCTTTAGGACTTGTGAGCGCGGTGAAATGGAAATTGGAGACATGTTTTGCGTTTCTGCCAAGACTCCCGTTTGGTTCACTGTCAGAAAAGCTGACTCTGTAGCTGACAATTTTAAGAGAGAGTTGGATTTTGAGGGTAGGTGTGAAGTGCGAGATTTCGATGCATTAGAGCCCGAGTCTATTGATATTTCACATATTGATCCTGTTAAAGGTATTGTCTTTTTTCTGTAATTCTTTCTATTTCAATTTTCTGGCTGATGTCATATGATTTCAGATATTGTCTTTATTCTTCGAGTTCATTCACTTTATTTAGCCCTTGATATACTAAGCATCATTTAAACTATTTGGTTGATTAAGAACTCTGTTTTTCTTTTTTTTCCGTCTTTCCTTTTCTCGGGGGAGGGGGCGGGTGTTTGAGGAGGAATTGGAGAATTGAGAGGTGAGATTTAAACATGTTTGAATTATATGGGGTTAACAAAATTCTTATCAGCTATCAGTTCATATCGCTTATTACCTGATTTTTTTTCTACATCTTTTTGGAATTGCAGAGTTTGGTGTTCTGGTCATTGGAGAAGAGTTTGATGGCTATCCCAGGAAAATGATTAGGGATTTTAAGAACTGGGATTGGTTTCTTGAGGAGCCTGGAGAGGAGAGTGAGGATGATGGATTTGACATAAATAAGAGGAGGAAATGTGGGAGAAGGAAGAGGAAGAAAGATGGACAAAATGAAGATGAAGACTGGGCTGGGGAGAGTGAAGAGGAGAAGGAGCTGCTTACAAAGGCAACAAAGGTCCAGAAAGCTAAATACTTGACAAGATCCAAGGATGGTGACAAACGGTCCAAGGATACTGGAAAAGGTACAACTTCTAAACTGAAGTATAGAAAACGTGCTGAGGAGGAAGATATTGATGAGGAAGAAGATGATGAGACGCTAGGTGGTTTTATTGTGGATAATGATCAGTTGGAGGAGGCAGGGGAAGAAATTGACGAAGAAGAAGAAGAGAAGGAATTTGAGGAAGACGAAGATGAAGAAGAAGTAGAAGATTGATGGCCCTTCGAAAGTGTAAAGGTTGCTTGGGTGGTCTCTGCCTGTAAATTCTTTTGTGCTAACTGGTTCATTCATAGATTTCATGGGATTTTTAGTGTTTCCTCTACAATTAACTAATGTGCTTTCTGATTCACACTTGTATTTGCCTCGTTTCACACTCACCTTAATCTCTCCATAGATCGACTCAATCAAGGTCTTCTTTTGTTAGATGCAAGATGCTAAAGCTATAGCTTGCTTCTTGTGAAGAAAAAACCTCACTACTTTGCCGATTCATTGAGTAGTCAATTTTATCCTATGATAACCATATCTGTCTTCCTTTACAGCTTTACAATTAAAATCTAACTTTCCAGTACAAAAGTGAAAGAAGATTCGTCTTGTCTTCACTGTGTTTGTCTGTGCCACAGGTGATGTTCTTTGATTGAGAAAGCTTGAACTCCTGTAATCTTGAATGGTACATAGTGACAGGATGATGCTTGACTCGTTCGATATCATCTCATAAGCATCACCTGTGTAGTATTAAACAGGATTGCTGGTGAAGAGGCTAGTTGACGTATGCTACGTGTTTGATCCATGTTCCCCTTGTAGTGTACTTGCTCCAAGCTATCGTGTTCTGCAGTTGAATTGTTGCTGCTTTTGATACTATAGTTCTGTTTTGCCGTGTGATACTCTCATATTTAATAGAGGTCTGGAGCTGAGAGCAAGGGTCCTTCTTAGTTCGCTTGCCAGATAAAACCGTACCTAAAGGGTATTTTATATCGATTTGTTGGGCAAGCAAGTAGTATTTTTGTTAACATAATAAAATTGAGGACACGGCCCCAACAGTCATCAGAAAAATCGTTCGGATCGATTTTGTGTGAAATACACAAAATTATATTTTGTATGCACACGATGTAACTTATTTTTAATAACGTGTAATTATAAAATAAAATTTTGTGAGTTCTCACATATGCAACTTGAATCTTATATTTTTATGGAGGCCAATTTTTGGTCATCAACCTCTCGAAACAGTCGCTTCCCTGCCCGTCCTCCTAACATTGAGATCTTCTGTGAAACCTTTTATGCCGGATCTCCATCACAAACCGTACCTACAGTGACACTGCAAATATCTTTTTACCAAGCACCACGATCACATTGCACCATTCATGATATGCAATGATAAATGTTTTCTCTCTCTCTCTGTCTCCTTTTGTTTTCTTTTAATTTTTTTTGACATGATTACAAAAAAAAAACGGTGGTAGGATTTGGAGACGAATGGTCCCTAAATAACAATATATAAAACTAATACCCCAAATATGGTGGAAACAAGACTAATGTTTAGTTAAAATAAAACTCACATCTAGTGAAATTCGAACTAAGAATTTCTAATTTCTAAAATCTCAACCTCGACAATTAGATCAAAAGCTTGTAGCCACAAATTTTTTTTAATGGTATTCAAATTTCAAACCTTGAAGTTATATATCCTTTGTAGTAGTATTTGTTTTTCTTTTAATTTATTGTTTAACATGCGGAAAATATCGTGGACGACCGTACCACGACTTCAATTGCGTTGACGAATAAACGATGGATTAGCCGGGGCACAACGATCAAAAGCGTGCCAGTTGTTGGTGCGATCAAGTCATCCCAGCCCCAAATATTGCCACGTCCCACCCATTAGCACGAAGCTACGTCGTCGTTTCCGGCATCGAGAGCTACAAAAAAAGTGGGGGCACCCACCGTTTTCTCACTTTTCCTATCATCCTTCGGGCTCAAATATCTCACCACTCCCAAAAATAAGAAACGGAATATTTACTCACTAGTTTAGTAGGAGCAAAATTATTAGTATATATTCATTTATTAGCATATGTTATCTCGTGTCTAGATCTTTGTAAAATATTTTCCAATACGAATTTTGCAAGTTGGCAAAAGAGTGTTTATCTTCACCAGCGGGACTAGGGTTTTGCCTATCGAAAAAATCGCCACCACCGGAGAAAACCCTAGCTGAATAGGGCAAACCGGGAAATTTCCATCAGGTTTTGATTAGGGTTTCCACAGGTAAACACATAGCAGTATCATAGTGGAAATAATTTTGTAGTATTCGATTTGCAGGTATTTTTATAGGTAGAGACAGAAAGGAGAATCCTTAAGAACAAATGGATTATGATTACGTAGCCGCTGAACAGAATTTCTCCGCTTACGGAGTCGACGAACAACAATCTCACCACCGACAAGGTGGCGGGGAGGATGAGTATGAGGAAGATAACCACGGAGAAGACTACTATTCCGAACGCGGCGGAGGAGGCGGTGGAATAGGAGGAGGAGGTGGAGAGTTGGAACCACTGGATAACATAGATGATAGTACTACTGCAGGCCACGATTTAAAGCTTTCAGTCGATGATTCTTCTGCAGGGTTAGTTAGTTATAGTTTAGTTATGGTTAGTTTGTAGTATGGTAGTAGTCTGTGTTGGGAATCAATCTCCTAGGGTTTCCAAAAATATTGATTTTTTCGCTTAATAGTTGATTGTACTAGGGGTCTTTTGCATTGGGGGAAGAGTTTTTTCGATGTGTAATCGAACCCCTTTGTGTTTTTGGCCTCTTAACAAAAAGAAATGAAAATGAGGGATGTGTGAACAATTTAGCAATAACTGTTGGTTTTTCTTCTGTGGTAGAAAACTCTTCGTTGGTGGTATTGCTTGGGAGACTTCTGAAGGTATTTCACGCTCTTATTTTTATATGTATTTCTGGATTTTCCTTGTCAAATGATGATGTATAATTGGACCCTTTTTATCTGAATATTGCTTTTATCTTCTGCCGTTATTCTCTTTTGCTATGAATTGTGAGGTTTGCTTTGGTGTATTTTCATCTAACAGAAGACTTCTGATAAAATAATGCTTATGCGTGTGACTAGCGGACTTGCGGCGGGTTTTTAACTTTTGTCTGTGTTGTCGATAATTTGTGTTGATTGGGCATGTTTTTCTGTGAATCCTGAAGGTCTAATCTTTTACAGATCTAATGGAAAATGCTTTGCCACTTGGTGAAAGATATGGTTAGTATGGGGAGCCTTAGGAGAACTGTCAACCATATTGCAAAAGACTTTCCCCTGTTGCCACAATTTAGAAGTGATATTTGTAATTTGCAATCAAAGACAATGTGGAAGATGAGTAGTTGAATGTAGAGAATTTGAATATCGTTTTCATTGTGTATGAGGGGTGGAGGAGAAGGGGGTGGGGAGTACAGGTGAAGAAAAAGGGGGGCTTGGTGTGTCATTTCATCCCTTCTATTGCAGGGTCACTGACGGAGGCTAAATGGATGCCCTATTTACAGGGCATACTATAATTTCTTTTAAGGTTAAATAAGGATATACCTTAATTACATTGAGTGCTTGCACTCGTCTAGGAAGGCTGCATAACCATAATAAATTGTTGGAATTGGGTACTTACCAAAAAGTGAGATGATCTACTGAGAATCTTCATTTTCTTTTCGATTGGAATTACTAATGTCATATTTGTTTTATCATTTGTGGGCTGGAGGGGGGGTTTTATGTTTAATTACGAGCATGAACTTTGCAATCCATGCTTGATCTGTCGTTAGAATGTGACATTGGTAGTGTTGGGTTGGTTGCTTGTGGTTCGTTATTTCTACTTAATAATGCTATACTTTTCTTGTAAGATGCGATAGTGCAGTAAATTTGGCGAACGCTATGCAAGCTGCTTTTGACATGTCTGAGTATATGCGTTTGAATTGGGTGCCTGTTTTGCTTATTCAGCAATCTGATTTTATCTTTCTTTATTTTTTTCATTCTAGAATCATTTAGCAGGTATTTCAGCAAGTATGGTGAATTAACAGATTCAGTTATAATGATGGATAAAATCTCTGGAAGACCACGAGGTTTTGGATTTGTAACATTTGCTGACCCTGAAGTTGCTAATAAGGTTCTAGAGGAGGAACACATTATAGATGGCAGAACGGTATAAGGTCTTTCTTATTGAGTGGTTCACCAGTTTTTCTTTTGCAACATATTTTTACAACCATTATTTATCTGACATCAGGTGGAAGTGAAAAGGACAGTCCCTAGAGAGGACATGCAGGGTAGAGGCGGGGTGTCAAGAACCAAGAAGATATTCATTGGCGGTATTCCATTAACCTTGACTGAGGGTAACTTTAACAGATCCATTTCATCTCAGTTTATGCAAGTTGATTAGTGTGTTCGACTTTAAATGAGCTTCTATTGCAGATGAGTTGAGGGAATATTTTTCTGCCTATGGTAAAGTTGTGGAGCATCAGATCATGCTAGATCATAAAACTGGGCGGTCTCGAGGCTTTGGCTTTGTCACCTTTGAGACAGAGGATGCTGTTGAAAAGATATTTACTGATGGACAAATGCATGAACTTGGTGGCAAACAAGTGAGTGCCAATGATCTCTAACCTTTTAAGATTTCGTTTCCCTTTTGTATTCTAAAGAAAGAGAGGTAAGCAGAGAAATAAATGTTTCAGGTTGAAATAAAGAAAGCTGAGCCTAAAAGATCTGGGTTTGATCACTCAAGTGACAGCAGGATGCGTCGTGGTGGTAGTAATTCCAACAAGTCATATGGTGGTGGTTATAGTGGTGGTGCTGATGGGTTTGGTGGTGGATATGGTGGAAAGATGGGTAGAGGATATGGCGGATATGGTGGATATGGTGGTTATGGTGGTTATGGCAACTATGCAGGAAACTATGGTGGAGGTGCAGGTTTTTATGCTGGATATGGTGGTTTCGGTTATGGTTTTGGGTTTGGTGGACCCATGTATGGTGGTGCTGGGTATGGAGCTAGCAGTTACGGGGCTCCTGGCAGTTATGGTGGTGCTGCTGCTGGCTATGGTAGTGGTAGAGGATATGGAAGTGGTTATGATGGTGGTAAAAGTTATGGTGGCGGTGGCGGCAGCGGTAGTGCTGCAGGATATGGCGGCCCTAAAGGTTATGGTGGCGGAGGTGGCAGCGGTAGTGGTGGCAGTAAGGGATATGGGAATGGTGGTGCAAGTGGGAGGTTCCATCCTTACCGGAAGTGAACTTTTGAAGAAGTCAGCTGTTAGACGTGATTTGACTGTTACAAGTTCTGTCAGGGGCTATATGTTTGGGGATGATGGTTTTAGCTTTTGCTTCTTTACCCACTTAATTTTGAATTCAAACAATTGATTTTCTTAGACATGGTTGTCTTTTGTTGTGAGAACTTCTTTGTAGCCGAATCTGTAGGGCAAGTAATTGCTGCTCCATGATTCTTACTTGTGAGAGAATCAAATGGTATCTGTTTCATTGGAATATTTTTGACAGACATAAAATTGAATGATTTTCTTTTAAACATTAGATAGAGCATCGGATCCCATGGTGAGGCTGTTTCAAAGAATTTGGCATTGTTTAAGTTTCCCATTGCCACTATGCTCTCAATTCCTGTTATGTACAAACCTTCACTTTCAGGAGCTGATTTAATAGAATGTTTTCCTCTCTTTCTTCCGAGCTCACGGGCATAAACACAAACACGAACACACGGATAAAAGGAGCGACCTTTTCAACACTCCATTTTAGTGGTAGTTCACAATAGAAGTGTGGATCTGGCAGTTAATTTAAAACGAAACTGATCAAAATTATTTATTTTTTACAATTTAAAGGAAGAAAGATAAGCAATGGAAAACTTGTGTAGAAATTTTAGGAATTTTTAAATTTTTTTCTCCGCAACACAATTTTTTCAAGTTTTGGTACTATATCATCTTTTATTTATTTTTTTTTAAAAATCATGTGTGGTTTTGTGTTTTTTTTTTTTTTTAAATGAGATGTTTCATATTCTAATGAAAGGCCAAAACTTGGGTAGATTCAGTCTTTAAAAACTCAATGACTCAAATTATGTTAAACCATCTTGAGATGTTATGGCACATTATAAACCATTGAATTTTTGAAAATCGAATTTACACACGTGTAAGTCTCATTTAAAAGTATAATATTATTCTAGAACTATTATGTTTGGGCATTAATGTCATTTTATCAAAATTTTGGACAAAAAATTCATTATTAACATTTGATTAATCAATGAAGAAGGCAAACTATTATAAAGTTTCAAGTTTAGAGGGGCAACTTATAATTAAATCTTTTTTATTTTTTATGTTTTTGGTCTAGTTGAGTTCTCCTCTGGAGATTAGTTAGAATAGGTAGGATTTAATTTTCTTGATCAATTTGAATTCTCCTCAATATATGAATGGAACGACAAATACTTGAGTAGACTTGATTTAAGTAAACTTAGCGATCTAAAATTCGTCACACCATTTTACCAACTAAAGTATTGAAGATGTGGTGAAATTTGAGCTATTAGATTTACAAGTTTGTATATAACAAAAAGTTTGTTATATTTTGAATTATTGTTAGACAAATTTTAAAATTTAATTATGTTGATATAATTTTTTTTTTTAAACTTTTGCACGGATATTCACACACGAGAAAAAAAACTGCATCAAGAATTCAAGATAAGGAAAGGAAACTTCACGCACTGACCCAACAAACATCAAACTCCTCTCTTTTGCATACGTATCAGAAACGATCAAGGGTTACACATAGAAAAGGAAAAGGAAACATCACGCACTTGCCTAACAAACGTCAAACTCCTCTATTAGATGGAGGGAAGATCGAGGGCTGTGGCTCGCTCACGTTTTTGTGAAAGTTTTGCGTCGGTTTCTCTGAATCGACTTGTTGATTAGTGGATTTTGCAGTTTTTGTCTGAATCGAATTTTGCGGTTTTCCTCTGCGTTAATAGGTTGCAGTTTTCCTCTCCCTTTAATAAATCGACGTCTCTATTTTGAAAACGAGGTCGATTCTGCAGTTTTTCTCTGAATCGACTTTTGCCCCTTAATCAGACGTCGATTTTGCAGTTTTCCTCAGTTTTCTTTTCTGCCTTAATTAGAGGTAATCTACGTCTCTATTTTGCGATTTTCCTCTATTTTGCGATTTTCGTCGGTAATTGAGTGTGAGTTCTTAATATCTATCTAAATAATAAGTGTCTAGTTGTTGTCACCGGCGCGTGTCTAGTTCTTAACATTTGAATGAATAAGCAAGCAGCATTCTAGAGTAAGTAGGTCGTCGGATTAGGATATAGCTACTTTTAGGAGTGTTTTTTTTTGGGTAGAAAAATGTACGAGTAAAAGGATTGATTGTGAAATATGTTCACCTGTAAATGTCTCGGTGTTGGTTGATAAATATTAGCTAATTTTTCTCTATGGCTTGTGAATTAATTATGCACTTAATTTTTTTTTTTTTTTGAGTTGAGTTGATTTATTTTTTTGAAAGCGTCTGCAGTATCAATCATGAGTACCGTATTTAGTGGTATTATTAAAAGAAAGAGGACAAGAAAAGGGATTAAAGCAGTAGACCGTATGCCAAACCTTCCCGAGCTCCCCGAAGAGATCATATATAATATCGTGGCACTCCTGCCTGTAGTAGATGCTGCGAGGACGAGCATGTTGTCGAGGAATTGGAGATATAGGTGGACCGAAACTCCAAACCTTATACTGGACAGGCGATTTTCTGAACGATTGAGCCTGAAATACGGATCAACGTTCCAGGATGAATACATCGCGATGGTGGATTCATTACTGTTTCAGCACCCTCGCCCCTGCATCCAAAAATTTGTTCTTGAAATCCCGAAATTGCCGACAACCCATTTCTCCATCATCACCGACGACTGGCTGCTAACACTAGCCACCAACGGTTTGAGGGAACTGAATCTTGATAACTCCGCAAACGTTGCCGGGCGGTACCTCACCATACACACCTGTTTCTTCTCAGAGTTTCCTGAACTTACACGTGCCACACTGACTAACTGCTGTTTCCGCACGCCGCTTAAAACCCAAGGCTCCTGCAACCTGACTCATCTTACTCTAAACCAAGTTACCTTCCTGCCACCGTCATGGCCCTCTGACGGCCGCTTCATTCATGCGCCTCAGCTTGCGGTTTTGGACTTGAGAGACTGCAAGGGTCTCCATTGCTTGAGACTGCGCGCTCCCTCGCTGAGAAAGTTGATTCTTTTTCGGAATTGGCAACTTGATTTGAGCTACTTTATCAGGTGCAAGAATCTAACAGATGTCCGCATTACTACTAGGCTCGCCGGAATTCAACGTCTTAGACACGGTAAATACGGTAGCATCAATTTGACGATGCTCATTCGCAGCTGGCCAAAGCTCACCCAACTTCATCTGGATGCAACTACACGCAAGGTGCTGAATTTTTGTACTGCTACTTTCTTTCTTATTTTTTCGTTTTTTTTTTTTTTTTTTAATGGTTGTCCATTGCTGCTCTCGAGCAGCATCTGGCTGCAGATAGTGATGGTATTCGTCCCAGGAGGTTTCCAATCCGAATTCAAAGATTGAAGCAGTCCTCTACTTAGTAAGCAGTTGCTTCATCTTGTGGAGGCCCGCCCGGTGATTCAGTTAATGTCATGGGCTGTGTCTGATCACTCTGTTGGGAATCGGGGAATGCATGCGACTGCTATTATTGATTTCATCTCAAAGAGGAGCATCGCCTGAAGCGCCAAGTGATTCTCGAACCATTGATTTAAACTTGCATTATTGTCTAGACGACTATTTGTTTCTTTCTCTCAAATGTTGGTTGGTTGAGTAGACCACTTCGACTTCATCCTACGTGCGATAGCTATCTGCATTCCTTAACTCCTCATCCCTCTTTGTTCTCTTGGTATAACATTATAATCCCCAAAATGTATTGCGAAATTGACAAAAATTCAACAAAACCACTCTCAAGTGTAACAAAAATGAGACGTTATCCTCGAAACCGCATCGCTTGGGCCAGGCTAATTTCTTAGATTATAGCAAAAAAAAAAAAAAAAGGTCAGATGCATGCTCTGATACTATATCTACCGTGCTGACTAAGATTTTGGCAGGTAATCCACACTCTTTTTTTTTTTTTTCGAAAAGGCCAATTAAGCACGGTAGCCAATAATTGCAACAACCAGGCCTGTCGTGCTAATAGCCTTAATGGTTATATTCTTATGTTTTGATTGTTGTGGTAGTTCCAAGGTGGTAAGAAAAAAATGGAAAAGGGAAACAAGGGTTAATGTCCCATGGTTGATATGAAAAAGAGAAACCACGGTGCAGTTGAAAAGCTAAATAGGAAAATTCTTGCCGGATTTGCAGTTGATATAACTAGAGAGTTAAAAAGAAATAAAGACAGACAAGGAAGCATTCATGTCAATCTTATTTGCACAGGATAGAGTATAAACTCCCCCATGCCTAGTTTCAATAATTTTCTTTCCATTTTACCTATAACATTTAGCTATCATAATTGAGCTTTGACTACAATACTCCTCCAGGCAGGCAACAACGTTCAAACCACTTTTTTTTTTTTTTTTTTTTTTCAGCAACGATACATTTGTATAACCTATTCTATCTTAATATAGGGGGAGAGAGAGCCTAAGAAAATTGTTGTAGGGGTTAGTGGGTATACAAACCCAACTAGACCAAGATGTGTTATGACACAATCTTTAAATTTTTTTTTACTGCCGGTAAGGTTTAAACCCTCACCAACAGTCTAAGGGAGGGGCTTTAAGTCCCTCCTTGATGGCCACTGAGCCATTGGCCCAGTGGTTACAACGTTCAAACCACTTCTTAAACCAAAAATTTGATACTAGTACAGCATCGTGCCGGGTCAAACTCAAACGACTGAATATTAGTATTAAAAAAAAATATTGGCCCACAACATTTGTCTTGTAGTAATATACTTTTTTGCTAGCTATTCACATGTTGAGATTCGAGAGTTTCTACGGTAATAAAGCTCACTTAATATGTTCAGTTGTTTGAAATTGTTGTTAAAGGGCGTTGTCAAGTGCAAAACATTTTTTTAGGGTAAAATAAAGATTTCATTCATTCAAATCATATATTACAGTTTTGATTATGAACGGGGAAAATTATCCCATCACAAAGTTCTACATTCATTCCGTATGTGCTGCAAAACAGGCAAATATAAAAAATATAGTAGTAGTACTCTTTTTCAAGTTTGGTTAGATTCTTTAACTAGCTTCCAGCTGACTGAGCTATATTGGGAAAGCCAGCACCATTAAACGAGCCAAGCTGAAAGGAAGTTCGTGGCATCTAAATTTGAATATGCAAGTTTTATTTTTTCCGCCAAAAAAAAAAAAAATCTGGAAACCTGATGATATAATGAACCAATTGTCCGGTGTCACCTGATGCTTTGGTCGTAGCCATCACGCGCTCAAATGGGGCAAATCTCCTATATACGTCTATTAGTAGTCTTTACAGATCATTCAATGTTCATCACAATTTAAGCTGTGGCATTTTAGTGTCATTTTATCAAAATTTTGGACAAAAAATTCATTATTGACATTTGATTAATCAATGAAGAAGGCAAACTATTATAAAGTTTCAAGTTTAGAGGGGCAACTTATAATTAAATCTTTTTTATTTTTATTTTTTTGATTTAGTTGGGTTCTCCTCTGAAGATTAGTTATAACAGGTAGGATTTAATTTTCTTGATCAATTGGAATTCTCCTCGATATAAGATTGAAATGACAAATACTCGAGTAGATTTGATCTATGTAGATTTAGCGATCTAAAATTCGCTACACCGTCTCACCGACTAAGGTATTGAAGATGTGGTAAAATTTGAGCAATTAGATTTACAAGTTTGTATCTACCATATTTTTGCTGATTAGACTAGGTGGGCGTAAAAATTTTCGATTGACATGAAAAAAAAAAACCTCAAATACTCATTATTCATCTTCCGAGTGGAAGTCATGCTCATAATTGAGGAATCGCGTTAATGCTTGTTGCGCTTTTTCGCCGAGAAGCAGCCACCCCTGCCCGAATCCTTTTGTGGAACTTTATCCAGTCAGAATCCTTGTAGTCCCCAGCATCTACGAGTTCACACCCGAGCACCTGATCTTGCCGCAGCTCTCGAGTTTTCACAGTCACACAACAGCAGTTTTGATGTGGCGGAAGACCATACTGCCTGCAGTCTGACAGATTGCGGGTCTGGCATCTGGGTGTTGGGCATACTGAGAAGAGACGACAAATTACATTACAAGGAGGCCGGAATGGCCAAAACTCTCCTTTTGAAAACCACTCCCAATTTCAGTCAGCATTACCTCTACCTCCGCCACCCATCTATCATCCTCTATTCACCGCCAAACGTAAAAACTAGCTGCTTTCCACAGGTTATGGCTATGTGTTCAAGTTTTTATCCTCTTTTGCCCATCAACTTTGGAAACAAAGCCAGACCCATCTTTCCTTTCCCAACTAAACCTCAATCTCTTGTCCGTTTCAAGGCGTTTTCATCTCAGGCCGATACTTCTACCACCAAAGGTAATTGGGTTTTCTGCTATATTGCTTTCTGTCGCTGTCTTTTTACTGCTCTTTGGGTTTTGCTAACGACACCCTTTCGGTTTTCGTTTCGCATTTTTATGGGTCAATTGAAACTGCTACTTGAACTGTCCTTGATTATGCATAAGGAAAAAAATTCAAGATATCGAGCTTTAATTTCTGTTGAATGCAAGTAAATCTGCAAAATGGGCTAAGTTGAGGACGATAATAACGTAAAAAGTCAAAATGCTCTTATCGGATGCAAAGAAGATTGAACAGATTACATGATGGTATAGCACTGGTTTTGGTTTTTGAAATCCTAAATTTAGACGATGACAATAGTGGTTCTGGGAGAGTAAACGATTGGTTTTTAAGCTAGTTGATGACGTAAATGGGAAGGAAGCAATTTTAAAATTCAAATCGTATTGCGCTCCAATCCAATGTGCAATTGCCAACCATTGATGGTCAATATAGTGCAGTCAGTTTAGTGAATATACAGTATCTCTATACTTCTAGTTTACATCTATAATAGCTTTTGATAGTGTATAGTGGTGACCCTGTTAGCCATTGGGCAGTTGAAATGCTTTTGGCAGCTGCTATTTGTGCAGCTCCTTTCGTAAGCAATTTCAGGCTTATATTTCCTGCACAGTTCGACTTCTACAGATGGTACAATGCTGGAGCAGAATTAGCGAAACACTTTTCTCATTAATTGCTTGAATTAGCAGAATTAGCAGCAGAATACTATCATGATCCAGCAAGAGATCTAGCATTCTCATTATTACTAGAACTTATTGAGACATGATAAATATATGGATGGAAGTAACTTTTTAATACTACAAAACACAGCTGAAAATACTTCATGGAATTAGCTGGACAGATTCTTCTCAGACGAACACCGCACCTTGAACATAAGCACAGCTTTTGTCTTCACGAGAAAGTTTAGCTTTCTGCCAATTTTGCATCATGCGTGCACACACACAGTTAAGTTGTCCTTTTTACTAACCAGATTTTCACTTGTATGTGGATTAGATGACATTCCAGCTCGCATTGGCTTTCTAGGTCTCGGAATTATGGGTTCTCCGATGGCCCAAAATCTATTGAAAGCAGGGTAACTCAATATATCTTTTTATTTTTTGATTTCTTGTGCAAGCCTCCCACGCGGGACTGAAATTTTATTGCAGACTGTTAGTAAGTAGTAACATGATCAGAGTTCAAATAAGTGTAACAAAAAATGGTAGTTCCAAATGGTAGACTCATTCTCATTCCAGCTATTTTCTAATGGTACTCCCTGAGTCGTGAAACCTAAAAGATTATTGGTATATGAAGTTGCATTCCCTCATTCTGTTTTGGATAATTTTGCTATATCTTCTCTTTGCTCTTCTTTTGACCAGTACAGAAGCAGCATCTCTAAGGCTGGCAATGTAACAGTAGAATCATTTGAAAATCAAAAAACTTCATGACAGACCTGCATGTGGTATCCTTAGAAAATGGGAAAATTAAATCATACTTAAACAACGTACTTATTTTTCAACCTGAAATGAAATTTTCATCTCTAATTAGCTGCCAATTTCCATGCTTGTAGATGCGATGTTACTGTCTGGAATAGGACCAAGAGCAAATGTGATCCACTTCTCTCCATTGGTGCTAAGTAAGTATCTGATGCACATATTGTTATTCTAAGCAGAGGGTCAGTCTTCAGTGATATTAGTTTCCTCTTAAGTTAGTGCGCTGGTATTTCTGGCTGTAAAGACCTATACCTTGAGATAACTTGTTATATTGTTGTCTACTACTGCTTTTCTATTTTCCCAGTTATCAAGGTGTGTCTCTCATTAATCGCAACCTTAATTTCTGCCTCAAATGTTTCAAATTTAAGATGGAGTTCTGCGGTGTAACTTTACTTGAGAAATGCTTTGATATTGCGTTAACAACTAGAATAGCAACAAATGATTTGCTTCATGCTGTCCTTATCCTGATCCTTTTGCTGTTTATGTAGTGGTTAATATGTCTTATCAGCTGAAAGAATGTGATACTTAACTAGGGCTACATGCATTCAGCATCCTGTTACTTACGCTATTTGATTTTTTTGTCGTCCGATATCTGGGCATTTTTTTAATTACAATTTTCAAATGCCTGTGCTCCTTTTAGCCATCCCATGGACTAGGTGTCTTCTTAAGCCAAAGTCAAGTAAAGACCATGTCAATGGGTCTCTTATCTTGTACCAAACTTGTTCTTGGTGTTGCCTTTCATGTCTACATAATCAGTAACTTTTTATGCAGGTATAAAGCCTCCCCTGAGGAAGTGGCAGCATCTTGCGACATCACATTTGCAATGCTTGCTGATCCTGAAAGTGCTGTGAGTATGCCTTATTTCTTGAACTTGCTTGC